CCCCCCCCCCCCTCTCTCTGTCTCTCAGTCTGTCTGTCTCTGTCTGTCTGTCTGTCTGTCTGTCTGTCTATCTGTTTGTCTGTCTCTCCCCCCCTCTCTCTGTCTCTCTCTGTCTCTCTCTCTCTCTCTCTCTCTCTCTCTCTCTCTCTCTCTCTCTCTCTCTCTCTCTCTCTCTCTCTCTCTCTTTCTGTTTATATGTGTTCCTCTTTCGCTTTCATTTTGCTGCAAAATAAAGGAGTAAAAAAACTAGCAGTGTCGTATAAACTACATCTCAGGATAACCGACTGATTTATAGGACTTTTTCTTATGTGAGCGCCTCTACTTACGGGTAAATAGAAAAGGGCCCCGCTGTGGACAGTTCAATCGACCACAGTGTGCTTTGTGTGGTAATTTTGTTCTACCTGGGGCAAAGAGTACGAAATATCCCCGAAATATCCCCGAAATATCCCCGAAATATCCCCGTTCTCCACAGCCCAATACCCCCCGTTATGTACCATCAGGACAAATGTTTGTAGAGACCAAGGTCTACTATACTGACTATAGTCGTCCTTGGTAGAGACTAAAATTTGGTGATATGGTATAGGTATAACACCTGGCTGGGACTCAAACCTCCGAACTTGAGATTGCAATCTCACGATAACGGGTCCAGTAGCCTATTGCTGAGACTGGAGCAAACAAACAAAAATCCTATTTTTGATAGAAATGAAAAGAACGTACTCTATGTTTTTACATAAAATTAATGTCTTATGGTCAGATTTTTGTACCACCCACAGAATTGATATACACATACATGGAGTTGTATAAATGCATTTTATATAAATGTACATACTATTTCGACCATAATATAGAGAAAGACTCCACCATACGTCATTTTGAAAAGTGACGAATGACGTACATGTAGTTTTATACTGAGCAGTCGATTTATAAAGTTCTACATGTCGCGTATATATACATCTGTAATGACATATTGTGTTTTTACATACGTAATATGCATATTTTGTTAGTTTTCATACTGATTGTTACATATTCTTATGTACATATATATATATAGAGAGAGAGGTGGATTATACTCTGAATACGTGTGTCTGTGTGCGTGTGTGTGTCTGTGTGTGTGTTTGTGTGTGTATGTGTATGTGAGTGTGTGTGTGTGTGTGTGTGTGTGTGTGTGTGTGTGTGTGTGTGTGTGTGTTTGTGTGTATGTATTTGTATGTGTGTACATTTTTTGCTTGAAAATTTTGAAATTGATTTTAGCTTGGGATTTTCACGTTTTGCCTATGAATAGTTTGAAGTGTAAACATATATTGTGTTTGTCATAATATTCCAACTAGACCATAATGCATAAAATATTAGCTTCAGGATATCAACTGGCTCTTCCACTGAGTGTTAATTTATCTGTATGATTTGCTGTTTGTTTGTTTGCTTGTTTATTTGTATTTGCCAATGGTTGTGTATTACTTCATATCAGGCCAGCAGTGAATGTACATTAAAGAAATACTGTTAGATACAGAGGAATTATTTTGTGTTTTTTTGTCTGTAGTTGTCAGAGTGTATGTGTTTCTGAGTGTCGAGTTCTCTGCCTGTGTGGTTACTTGGGTGTCTGCTTCTCTATGTCTCACTCTGTCTGTCTGTCTGTCTGTCTGTCTGTCTGTCTGTCTGTCTGTCTGTCTGTCTGTCTGTCTGTCTGTCTGTCTGTCTGTCTGTCTGTCTGCTCGCGTCTTTAATCTCCCCCCCCCACTCTCTCTCTCTCTCTCTCTCTCTCTCTCTCTCTCTCTCTCTCTCTCTCTTTCTTTCTTTCTCCTTCTCTCTCTCTTTCTCTCTTTCTCTTCCCACCTAATTTCTCTTTCTAAAACTGGGTTGGTAGGGGGAACAAAAAAAAAAAATTGGTGAGAGGGCCCCCCACCCAACAAAGAGGCAAAAGAAAAAGGAACGGACATGTGCCTCAACAGCTTTCTCTCTTTAGGCTGGGGACAGAGAGACAGGCTCATAAACATAGTTGGGGGAGGCTGGGGGGTGCTCTGGTGTGGTTTGATCTTTCTTTTCTGTAAAACAACTATCGTCCTTCTCTCTCCTCCTTTTTTGTGTTTGTTACTCTCTTGTAACACCTCTACTTTTCGGGACTTATCTGACCTTATTGTATTGCAAGTGCCGTAAAACTGTTACTAAAACTAAAACTAAATAACAAACAAACACACACACAGACACACACACAGATGGAGAGAGAGAGAGAGAGAGAGGGGGGGGGAGTGAGTGAGAAAAAGACACACAGAGAGAGAGAGAGAGAGAGAGAGAGAGAGAGAGAGAGAGAGAGAGAGAGACAGAGACAGAGACAGAGACAGAGACAGAGACAGAGACTGACAGAGAGGACTTTTTATCTCGAAATGACCCAACTTGAGTTGTAACTTAGACAAGACAGAATCACGCAGGATCCCGAGAGGTCCTCGTCTCCACCAAGTCTCAAACAAACTTCACTTCAACGGTTGTTATGCAGGAATCTAATGGGGGATTAAACGGGCCCACAGACAGATAACTCAACAATGTATTTCTCATTTTACAAAAAAAAAAAAACCAAGGGGGAAAGGGGGTGGGGGGAGAGATAACCTTTCTTTAAAAAAACAAAAACAAAAAACAAATAAAAGAAAGAGATAGAAGAGTTATAAAATGGCCCCTGGTTCTCGAAATCTCTTGCCCTAGCTAGATCTAGTAATCGCACGCTGACACAAACACATCACATGTCTAGATAAGAATATTGTGGTGTTAGGAATAACGGTTACATCAGACTGAAAGGGTGTGGAGGTAGGCGTTTTTTATTTTTTGAATTTTTATTTGTGTGTGAGGAACGGGGGGTGCAAAGGAAGGGGGGGGGGGGCAGTGAAGAGAAGGTTAGCTGAAGCCACCCTCTCGAAAGGCGATGAAAACTGGCGATGATAATGGCAGCGATAAGGAGGGGGACTAGTGCCGTGAGGCTACCTCAAGCGGCCATCTTGAGATAAGGGCGCCGCGAGAGGTCGCTGTGGCTCTAGACATTTCAATTATCTCCCGTCCCTGTCACCGGCTTTTTTTTTTTTTTTTTTTTTTTTTTTTTTTTTTTTTTTTTTTTTTTTG